CTGGCCCCATTCCCAGCACCAGTGTGAGTCCAGATTGGCCTCAGCCAATTACCACATTATCATTCCTCTCACCAGTGATTGATTTAGACATGGGCATGGGAAATGAGACTTAAGAGGAAATCTGCTGGAGGCCTTCTGGGAAAAGCTTCCTTACTTTTGCAAGACACAACTGCTGAGGCAGCGTCTTCTGGGAATCTTGTCTGTCTGTGTGTGTTGCCTGTGGAGCACGCATGATCACAGAGCTCAAGCTCTGGGCATGGGCAAGGCCAGAGGAAAAGAACCTGGACTCTTAATGACACTCTTGAATCTCTAAATTAACAAGCTTTATAACTCCTGTTCTTGTGGACATCTTGTTATGTGAGATAAGAAATGTTCTTATTCAAACCAGTTACAGCTGGAGACATCCAAAATGCCAAAGACCAAAACTGCCTCTAAAACATGAAACGTTATCTCTCGGATACGCCCTTCTGCATACAAGAGGCCTGAGCCAAGCGATGAGGCTAATCCCTGGCAAACTCCTTAAAACTATCACAGAGGAAGGTCAAAGAGCATTTCCTTAAAACCCACAAGCCAGCACTGCTTGAGATGGCAGTGGCAGAACAAGTCTGATGTAAAATGACAAAAGGAGGTCAGATGATAGTCTTCAGCTCAGAAACAGGACTGAAGGTAAACAGGGCAAGAGAATCCAGAAAGAGGGTGAGAGAATTTGCTGCCTGATCATCAAGCTCATCTGCTCTTCTCCTAGGCGCACAGTTAAACTGCATTTTTCAGCCTCCCTGGAGGTTAAGTGTAAATCGGAGAGAGGCATGAAAAAGTGATGTTTTTCATACATTTCGGAAGAAGCCATAAAAACCTCCCAGGTTGCTAACTATAGGCTCTTTTCCTATTTGCAACTCGTAGACTAGGAAATGACCTCAAGGTCTTTGAAGTCAATGGTGGAAGGTGGATGAATGACTTTGTGGATGAATCCAGGCCTGAGCTTGACTCCTTTCCTGGATGACCAGAAATATCCACAAGGGACTGCCAACCTTGAACAAGATAAAAACTTTGTTTTATTCTACTGAGCTTTGGAGGCTTAGCACGTTTGAATAGTTAGAATTCGTAATATTACAGCAGTATACTACGGCAAACTTACCAAGGTTTTGTGAATACCGATGAGTGAATTGAACAAGTAAATAAATGTAATATATAATTATAAATAAACAGGACCAGATAATTAGGTGTCTTTTGTAAAACACTTAGGAAGTAAAGTATGGAGTTGGCCTAGAACTCAGGTATTCCATGTCCAAGTCCTGGTTTCTCTGGCGTCCCATCCTGCAAAAGTACAAGCTAATAAGTCCCAACTTGATTCTAAGTCTTGAAAACTCATACTGACCAAGATATGTCAGAAAATATGAATTCTGTTTGAACTAAACAGAACCAATTAATGTGTTGTTACTAATTGGTCCGTAAATGCACTGCTTTCAGCTTTATATTAAGCCCCATTTTAAATCAGATTCGCAATAACTACCATGTAACTGATATCCACTGACATTTTAGTGAAAATTAACCTTCTATGGGCTAATCTGGAATATTGCTAACATTTCCTTCTTTTTAGCATATAACCTATCTTACTAATGAATCCCTAATAGTATTTGGCATTGACTTTTTACAGTATAAAAATTGAGCAATCATGCTTTTCTTCCTTATCTTAAAAAATTTTCCTTATAAAAATTAATATATTTTTATTACAGAAAAACAATCTTTAAATCATTGATAGAACCAGACTTTTTATTGTTGAAATGGGAGGTTGCAGGAAAACAAGGGAAAGGGGCTACAATAATCTATGTAGCAATAGATTAGAGCTGGAGTCATCAATATAAACTCCTAGTTAGCTTAATATAGATACAGGTAGTTATGTAAAAATCATTACAGGTACACAACACACACATATATAGATAAGTATACATCCATGTAACTTCCTTGCTTTGTCAGAGATTAGAAGCAATGATACCTCCATAAGAGCCATCATATCTAGCACACAGATCTTTGTTTGCAGTACCATTCTCGGATAAAACAAGCAAAGGCTGCTTGGAGAAGTGGCTGATTCTAGGACTGGTATAGATCAGATACACAAGATGAGCCTGCAGCATTATGTAGTACCAGGAAGTAGTAATATTTCTGGAAAAGAAAAAAAATATCCTGCAATAATGGAATATCAAAGGGACCCAGGAGGCAATTGAAAGAGCTCCTTTCAGTGGCCAAAACTGGAACAATTTAAACAAGAAAGTAGTTTCCAATTATATCTCAAAGTAAAAAAGAAACATCCAGAAATATCCATGAGTCCATAGCAATATAAATAAAAGACTGGCTGGATGAATAAATGAATAAATAGGGAAGATAGACAAATATCTTGTGCCCAAGATTTCCAAATTACATAGATTCCAATCTTAAGGAGGAAGGAGATACAGCCTAACTCTCCACTCCTTAAGTGTAAGCGGCATTTTGTGACTTCTGTCCAAAAAACGCAGTATGGAGGTTAGTAAAAGGCTAACTTTACAGTGGGGAAACCTGAAAATGCTACTGCAGTTGAGTGCTCAAGGTTCACATCAACAGTGATAAGTCACTTTGATACAATGCACCCTTGATATGATGTGATGAAAATGGCACTTTACCTCTGGGTTCTTCCTCCCCAAAATCTCCTAGCCCCAGTCAAATCATGATAAGAACATCAGAAAATTCCCAATTGAGGAACATTCCACTAAATATCTGACCAATACTTCTGAAAACTGTCAAACTCATCAAAAAAGAGGAAAGTCTGAGCAACTGTCATAGCCAAAAGGGTCTTAAAGAGACAAGACAACTAAAAGCAATGTAGTATCCAGGATATTAATATTGTATTAATGTTGGTTCATTAATTATAAAAATTTACCAAACTAATGTAATATGTTAATAACAGGGGAAACTGGGTGTAGGTTATAAGGAAACTTTCTACACTCTCTGCCAATTTTCTTTCATCTAAAGCTATTCTATAATTAATGAATACATTATTTTACAAATTCACCCACATTTCCAATATCTAGCAATAAACAGAAACATTCTAATGTATCCTTCATCTTTTTTCCATGTGTATATTTTTTATTTTTTAAAATGGTTTCATATTGTACATAATTCTTCAGTTAACATTCAGTGAATGTATTTCCATGCCATTATAAGTCTACAATATGATTTATATTTATGTCAGAGTAGTTCTTCTCAGGTATATCCCATACATTATTTAGTCAATTATACATTGGCATTTTTATTCTTCCCTAATTCTATTAAATGTATTGAAGAAGGAAGTGTAGGAAATGAAGAGAGTAAGATAAAAGACAGTAATACTGACATATTTGTTTGTTGTGAGAAGAGAGTAGACTGCCTGATGCTACCAAGAGAAATATAATGGGCTGAGAAGCAAGACAGCCAGACACCAGTGTCAGCTTCAGAGAACTCTGAGGGTGGCCTTGAAGTCACTTAATCTCTCCCATTTCTAGTGTCCTTATTTATAAAATGGACTTGATAAGTTATGCAACAATGTCCGTTTCTAAACTCTATTATTGAATATTTTGCAAAAAGGCTGTTAAAAAATGTCATGCAGAGGATATAACCGAGTATATTTAATGTAATAAAGAAGGTATAGAAAATGGATGATAGATACATTTCCTCTACTGTATAGCCAAAAATTTCCCATCATGTGGCACTAATGGAATATATTATATAAAGTGATATAAAGATCTTACAGTTGAATGCAAAAGTGACTCTTTCCACTGAAGGAGAAGAAAGACTAGTCTATGAATGTAGCAAAGAGATTGAGTTTGACTGAATACAAGAAAAGGCAGTCTAACAATAGAATAGGCTTCCTAGAAAAAATTTGTGAATTCGGGAATGCTGTAGCATGGGCCAGATGGAGAACTACCTGAGATAATATAGAAGCTATTCCTGTCATCAGTAGAAATTCAAACAGAATGGCCGCCAAGGTCACTTTCAATTTAAAAAGGGTGGAATTTTTATTTAATCTCATATATGATACTTTCTTTTAGACACTTGTCCTTAAGCATCGTTGCTGTTTCTGAGCTCTTTGCTGTCTCATTGGTCTCTTAACTGAAGAACCAATTGCAATAGAGAAAAATAAAAGGTATCTATTAGGACAAAGAGTCCTTAGCTTGTTTGTATGCATAGATAGGTCCCTTTCTAAGTGTCTAACGAAGAATGGGCACTTTCACTGTTATCAAGAAAGTGTGCACGGAACATCTCTTGAAACGCAATCTTTTCTATGAAGTCATTCCAAAAAGAACAGAAACTTTGGAAAGCAAATCTCCAGTTCACAATCACACTTTAGAGTTTGTCCTCGAAATTTCTTCATACCCTTTCCAGAACATGAACTTGCAAAAATGCCAACACATAATACACACACACACACACACACACACACACACACACACATTAATATTAAAGTTTTCGAAGTTAATCTGATCTGAAGCTAAGAATTCCTCACCTTCACACTTCTGGATGCTGAAGGAGGAATTGTATCTGGTGGGAGTTTTCTTTCTTATAAGGTGAAGGAGATTCACTGTTTTCTACAAGTAACTCCAGTGGATTTCCCTCTACCCACTCAACTCTCTTTTTTAAATTTTTTTCAGGCAGAACTACCTGGTGTGTGTCTAGAAGTGGCTGTTTCTGGAATTCCACTCACAGGGGAAAATTAGCCTAAACTAGATAGCTTGAAACAGTCCTCATGGGTGGGGAGTGGAAGGGGACATTGGGAAAAGGGGGCTGAAATCAGCTTTAAGAACTTTCTGTCCTTTAACCTCAAAAATACAGAAAGTGAATGCAACATTTTATGAGAAACCTCATACTGCGTGTAGATCTTCACTTTCAACACACGCACATGCACATGCACACGCACACAGGCTACTGCTGTTGGAAAATGCCTCTTCTCCAGCCACCAGAGCAAGGAAGCAATCCAGGCAGTCCCAACGCACCAGGGATAGATGGGGTCTCCGCAGCCCTCAGCTGCAGCGGGCTGGTCTGTGGAATCACAGCAAGAAAGGTGTTGCGAGGAAATCCCTTGCATGCTGTGTGGTGTGTTAAAAATGCAGCATCATCCTCTCTGCTCCTTTTCTTCACTGAAAAGCAGAATTCGAGGGCACGGGGAAACTGGAGGGGCGAGAAGCCTGCCTCCTGGAGCCCTGGAGCCTTCTCGCTCCTCTCCCCACTCCTTCTCGGGCTCTAATTGCCCCTGCTCCAATGGGCCAGCAGCACCTTCATCATTTCCTCTTCCATTCACTCCAGCTGGGAGGGAAGAGGGAACACAAAAGTCTAAAAATAACTGACAGCATCTTTAAAAAAAAAGGAAAAAGCTTATCTGCCCCCCCCCAAACACCCCCAACGTGCTCCCGCCCTTTCTCCCTCCTTTCCTCCCAGCCCCCCTCCCTTATGGGGCACATGTCTGCTTCTTACAACACCGAGGCACATGGTTCCAGTTAGGCACCGAACCCCACCAGGACAGAGAGGAAATCCACATCTGTGGGACGCTCCGCACGGAACCACCTCCAGCGAGGGAGGCCAGGGGACTGCAGCACCGAGATGAAGGGCTAGACCGAGGGAACGCTGCTCATGCGGTGAGAGCCAGCGCGGGAGGCGGCGAGGGCGCGGGGAGGCCAGGGAAGGGGTGGGCCCCGCGGCGCCCCCGCAGCGCCCGCCGCCCGCCCCCACGCGCGCTGTCGATATTTGCCCGCCTTGCTGCAACTTGCTGCAGTGTTTGAAAGAGTAGTAGGAGCGCATGGAGGTGGGGCCAGGGAAAGACCAGGCGGAGTGGTTGTGGGGTGAGCGCGGAGTGGGTAGGGAGGCGGCGGCGGCGGGGAGGGGGGACTGGCCCCAGGGGGTGGGATGGGGGAGAACGGGGTAGCCCGGCGCTTACACATGTCACATGTGCTTTTTAAGACGGCCAGGAGCGCCTGCGAGCTGGATCTGGTGGAGGATGCTGCAGCAGGTGCTTCGCAGAGGGCTCCAGTCGTTCTGCCACAGGCTGGGCTTGTGCGTGAGCCGGCACCCGGTCTTTTTCCTCACCGTGCCCGCAGTCCTGACCATCACCTTCGGCCTCAGCGCGCTCAACCGCTTCCAGCCCGAGGGCGACCTGGAGCGCCTGGTCGCTCCCAGCCACAGCCTGGCCAAGATCGAGCGCAGCCTGGCCAGCAGCCTTTTCCCCCTGGACCAGTCCAAAAGCCAGCTCTATTCGGACTTACACACCCCTGGGAGGTATGGCAGGGTGATCCTCCTCTCCCCACCCGGGGACAATATTTTGCTCCAGGCTGAGGGGATCCTGCAGACCCACCGAGCCGTGCTGGAAATGAAGGTGAACCACAAGGGCTATAATTATACTTTTTCCCATCTGTGTGTGTTGAGAAATCAGGATAAGAAATGCGTGCTGGATGATATTATTTCAGTGCTAGAGGATCTCAGGCAGGCTGCCGTCTCCAATAAGACAACAGCCAGGGTGCAAGTGAGGTATCCCAACACTAAATTAAAGGTATGCTCCTTCTGCATGCTTCTGCCAATTAAAGAGGCAGCACTTCATTTCTTGCCCTAAACAAGCAAAGAAAATGCAGAGGTCTCATCCTTAAGACTCAGAAGCTAATGCTTCTTTCATTTCTGGGGGGAAAAGATGGGCAACTGAGTGAAGAAAACAGGCAATGAATGGCATGACTAGATACTAAGAAATTCAAGGCCAAACAAAACAAGTGCCAAAAATAAAAAAATAACAAAATTTAAATTTTTAAAAAAAGTTGTTTCTGAGACCCTGCAATTACATCTTTGTTCAGGGTTAATAAATCAGTGAATGGAAGGGGGAGGGGGAATCCTGAACAATTTGTGGGATTTCTTTTCATTATGGGGCTCAATGTATTTCTTATTACTGATTACACATCCACCTCGTGTCATATCCACCTATTTACATCTTGAGCCTGGCTTGATTGTTAACATGTGGGGAGTTTGTGTTTTGGTGCCCTGTGAGTGTGTGTCTGAAAGCATTGAGTTATGAATGTAGTAGAGATCAGGAATGATGTGTATGTGTGTTTGCTTAACAAAAGAAGCAGGAATTTTCTATGTATAAAAATAGGAATGTGCACCTAACTGATGTACTAGTTAACTGAATCCAGCGATCTTCCTTTCCCATAAAAAATTCCAGATGAAAGCAAGATTATTACAACAGCCCAATAACAAAAGGAAAGATAAAAAATCACAGTCAGCAAAATTTACAAAGAATGGTCATTTCAGCATGAAATACATTGTGCTGTTTAGACTCTCAATTTAAATTTCATTGTTCAAATGAGATTTCTAAACTCATTCTACACTGTCAAGATTGAGCTGCTGCAGGCAATGAGGCATGCAGTCTCCAGGTGACTGAAGTTTCAGGGACAAATGTGAATTCCAAAAGAGTCACTGCACCATTTGTGTGTTTGACCCTGTGCATGCCCAGAAGCTGCACAGCCAAGAACTCACAAGACAGGTGTTTCCCAAGAAGAATAATTTTTTTTTAATGTGTGTGAGGATATGTGTGTGTATCTGTGTAGACAGTGGAATAGAAGACCCCCGTTTCAATAAATGAATGGCCTAATATAGGAAATCACTAATATTCCTACTTATATCTGATATAGTCAGCATCTATAACATAATAAAAATAACTTTTTCAGAAGTTTTGAGAGAAAAATATCTTTTTCCTAAATTGAAGGAGGATTTAATGCACTTTGAAACTAGAGATTCCTCAGGAAATCTTATAATCTGCCTTTTTTTTTTTTTAACATGATGCCCTCATTTAAATGAATCCAAAGGCTGACAAGGGTTTCAGCTTTACAAAGCTGAGCAGTCCCTTGATGCTTGGTGAAATGAAACAGATGATTTATCAGCTTTAAATCTAGGTTAGGGCTTGCCTGCTTCAAACTTATTGATGAGAGCATGATGGATATGTGTGGTTAGGCAGCATGCTTTTCATTTCCCGAATCATTTGCCATCAACATTATTGCTTGCTAAGGAAAAGGATGTGGTGGAGAGGTAATCTTTCTAACCCATACTCTTTTAATTGAGTTTTTTCCTAAACCAAACACCTGGAGTGAGAAAGATTTGAACTTTGTCAAATTTAAACTTCAGTTTGTTCTCCTATGGAGTCAACTTTGCATTATTGGTTGGGTCCTCTAGTGCTTTTATTCAGCGGTATTCTCCAGGTGTAAAATTGTTGTTCAATCAGCCATTGACAATATTTTGTTTTCTGCCAATATCATTATGCTATTTACAGTATAAAATCCCTGAGGTATTCAACTTACTCATTGAATAATCATTGGTTGTACTCTTATGATTTATTAAATGCTCTTCTAAGCATGTGAGACAGAGTTTGGAGCAAGAAAAGAAAAGTTCTCATTCTCGTGAGGCTTAACAGTAGTAGTCTGGGTGACAGGGTGAGACCCTGTCTCAAAAAAAAAAAAAAATGTAGTAGATGTCAGTGTCCTCACTACAGTAATCTGCAAGCAGGAACTCTGCAATCTTTGAGTTCACCATTGATTCAGCGCATGCTAGGCCTATAACAGGTGCTCCATGAAAACTTTATGCTGTTTGGTGGTTGATACACATCTTAGAGGGAGTCAGAGGGTAATCACAAAAGAAGGGAATAATTGATTACAAATGTTAATATCATAATAGCATAAAAAGAACAGAAGCATTACACATTAGCTAAAGTTCTTATTCTGCAATATTCTAATATCTATCAATGTTTCCTCAAATGTGTTGGCTTGACTCTCTCTGCATGGCATCACCGGGGATCTTTAAACTATGTTTGGGTAAATTGGGCTTTTGAGATCTTCTGACCTCAAGTATTCAGACACAATCTCACATAATATAAAATATAATATATAAAGCATAGTCTTAAGAGTACCATGGATGCCTAGAATCTTGTCAAAGGGTCTCCAGGGGCTCCCAGGATCAGAACTCTCTGGCAGACAGCAAGATGAGATGGACTTTTGTTTTAATTACATGTTATTTGGAAATGATTTTGGTTCCTATTTTTCAGGGGGCTCACAAAGTGTGCTTCTATGATGCTGATACTTACTAATGTGTGAAAACTCCTCTTATGCAAGATTTGAGGAACAATTCTATATGTGTATTTTTTAGACCTCAAATTCGTTTTGCTTTCTCCTGTTCTGCTGGGACACCTTTCTTCCCAACTCTGACCAATATGAAAAATTTTAGTGCTGGAGAATGCTATTGGTAGGCAGAAAATCAGGAAATTGCAGAATAAATGGGGGCGGCTGCGTGAGTATGAACTGGCAATTACTTGACATGAAAGAAGCAGGTCCGTGTTTAGAGACAGGCTGAAGATGTATAAACACTGGTTGACCGACAGAAGTGGTCAGAAACCTTTGTTATAACAACAGAAGGTCATCTTTCAAATATTATTAAGACACCTAAGGGGTCCTGGACACAGAAAGGTTTAGAACTTCTGATAAACATGATTATGTTGACAAGGTGATCCAGACAAGCAGGGATACAGAAAGGTGCCTTCTGTGGAATTCCAAACAGAGGCTTAGATAAAGCTGGTATGAAAAAAGCAGCCATTGACTTAGAATACCACAGAAGAAATGGAGCATATACACAATTTCAAAAGCTGCATAGAAAAGATGCCAAAATCTGAAATCCCTACATCTATACGACACGACCTCTAAAATTATTTCCTTCATTACAATCTTTCTTTTATATCCCTCACTAGGCACAAGAATCATATCATGTATTCTGTCTGTACTGTTCACTTTCCCCACACCAACCTAATCCAGTTCCATGTAGATCATATTCACAAGAAATAGTCATTGATTAATTTATTGATAAATTTGCACATCTAAATTGTTATATCACAAAATTATCTTCACTTTTTTAGCTTTTATGGCTTGTTTTTATTTTAAAGCTATTCTTTGTATTCTCCAGCTATCTTAAAAGTGCTTTTGACCTGAATATTTGGGGGCTATTTTTTTCACCTGTGAAAATATACATATTATACACTTATATAAAGTAATAGAAATGAGCAGACTGAATTTTCGAGTAAAATACTTAACATGTTGTTGAAGTCCACCTCTTGATTAAAGTGAGATAAGCATTCAGAATCTTTTAGCAAGGGCAGTTCTGGACTCTAAGAAATGTTTTCATTATCATTCAAGGAGCTTGGGTGTTTACAGGTAATATTTCCCTGCTTTTTAGGTGGGCCATCATAACCTCACTTTTTCACCTGGCTAGTTCCAGGAAAGCAACAATTCTCATATGTCCCTAGTTTTTCATTTTAGCTGCAGTAAAAGACATAGGTAAAGGTTAAGCAGATGAATGTGATTCCTTTGATATGGGTTTGATTCCAAGTCTAGATCCCAACATCCTAGCAAACAGTGATAGAGGAATAAAGCAAATCTAATGTCCCTGAATCCTGACGCTCCCATTTTATTCCATTAATAACCACGCCTCTGAGCAGATGTTAAAATGAAATCAGTATGTACTTCAATGTACCACATTTGAAATAGGAGCAAAGATAGATCTTCCTGCTTCTTAACAGAAGACAGTGTTTCTTTGGGTACATTTTGGGTGCATGCTCCAGGTTTGGAAGATATTGCCATTAATTATTTATCTCCAGTCTCAATGGAACAGTAATTTAAGCCAACATGAAAAGTGAGGACCAGCATTACTTGGGGAAATTTTGAAGCAAAGTTATGCTATGGACTTCTTTCTCTAGTTCTAAAACCATATAAGATATGCATGTCAGGATCTTCCCTGATATTTTGATTTAAGCTTACCTTTCTGATTGAGAAAAAATCACTACCTTACTGAATGTTCAGTTTGTATCCTAGGTGTTTTATACACACATGCTATTTAATTTTTACAAGTTTTTAAGTCAGGAGGATTATTTCTGTTCCCATTTTATAAAAAAGAAAAATGAAAACCAAGAGGTTAAGACACTTCCTTGAAGTCCCCAAGCTAGTACTTGCTGGAGCTTGTATTTAAATCTAGATTTGTCTGGTACTGAAGCTCATATTCTTAACTGTACTACTATATTAGATCCCAGGACATTCTGCATATTTCTCTGTAATAGCCCTTTATACTAAGAAAGAAGTAAGGATTTAATTCCTATCATCTGAAATCCATGGTAAAATACCACTACTAATCTTTCACACTATTTTCCTTACTTGCTCAGAGTGACTGGCTCATAGGAAGGTGACACAGAGTGAAGCTTCTAGTTTGGGCAAACTCTTACTAACCCCTTACTGTGGAGAGTTTAGCAAACTCTTCACTGGCACATGATTTCACCCAAGTCAGAACAAACCAAAGAGAGGCTCCAGGATCAATTAAAGCAGATTCCTGTAACCTGGCCTAAAGTTTCAGCCAGTGGCTTATGTGCCAAATAAGCTTGAGTATTCCTGGCTTCAACTAGCCAGAAAGAAAGAAATCGAGAAAGAGAGAGAGGGAGAGAGAAAGGGAGGGAGGGAGGGACGGAGGGAAAGAGACAAA